TACAATCATTAAAATTGTAGCCCTGATACAGAAAAGAACCGATACACCAATGAATAAGAAAGATTATGTTTCAAACAGGAAATCTGAAATTCAATTGAATTTTTCTTCTTTTTTTTTTTTTTTTTTTTGAGACAGAGTCTTGCTCTGTCATCCAGACTGGAGTGCAGTGCCTCGATCTTAGTTCACTACAACCTCCACCTCCCAGATTTACGTGATTCTCCTAACTCAACCTCTTGAGTAGCTGGGATTATGGACGCCCACCACCACGCCTGGCCAATTTTTTTTTGTATTTTTAGTAGAGACAGGGTTTCACCAGGTTGGCCAGGCTGGTCTCGATCTCTTGACCTCAAGTGATCCGCCCACCTCCATCTCCCAAAGTGTTGGATTATAGGCGTGAGCCATCACGCTCAGCTAAACAGAATATTAAAAGCAGAGATAACGTAATGCAGGTAATGAGTTCCACAGGTAAGAAGAGACTGAGAAGTCACCCAAACATGAACAACAGTAAGCTGTTGCTTTACCTGTAGGCTAGAAGAACAAAGGGAGAAAGTAGAACTCCTAGAGCCCAGGGGCTGGGTTATCTCGTGGAAGGTAGAATCATGGTGGGCCTGTCCAAGCAGGGACAAGAACCAGAGAAAAAGTGCAATCTCTACCTAAGATACCACCTGAGGCAGAAAGATGGGAGAAATACCTTCACTACTGTCTTCTCCCCACTAGCCCTTCCCGTTATAAGCACTAGAAGCCTATAAAAAAGGGAGTGTGGAAATCAGTGTGTATAGGTCTGTTTGAGGTAGTGAGGAAAGCAGCAGAGGAGCAAGAAAGGGATACGGTATAGCCCAACAGAATATGTAGTGAAGGTGACATCACAGATCAGAGGAGACAGGAATGACAATAAATGCTGCTGACATCATTGTTATCATCTATGAAAACTATCAAGTTAAATGGATCTACACCTCATACTGTAATTCAGAATAAATTATAGGGGTGTGAAAGAGTTAGGTGTAAACAATTGAAGACTACATAATAAAGAAAATCATGTAGATTTTCTGGAAGAAGAATGATTTACAGCACATAAAAGCAATAGAATAAATCTAAAAAAATGAGAATTTAAATAGAAAAGCATTGTATGCAAAATAATCCTATAAATAAAATTAAAAGACATACAATAAGTGGGAATATTATTAGTACACACATAAAAAGGTTAATACTTTTAATATGGAAATACTTATAAATAAATAGAAAAGCAGGCAAAAATTATCAACAGATACTTCATAAAAGAAGATACAGAAAATAACCAGTAAAAAAGATAAAATAATATCAAATTCTCCAATAACCAAAGTAATACAAATGTAAATAAATATATGTTTATATGACTATTAATCTGACAAATATAAAATATTGTTAATAGTACAGTGTGGAAAAATAATGTAAGCTATAACAATAAGGGACTAACAGCCATGAAAAGTAATTTTAAAGAAATATTTGGTGACAAACAATACTCCTGATATAATAAAGTGAAAAGATTAGGATTTAAGTTGTATTATACCTCAGCTAAAATCTGATATAAAGTAGACTAGCTCACACATATAAGTGAGTAGAATGAAATAGTAGAAAGCATATATAAATTTGTTAAAAAGTTAACCAGAATAATTATCTCTGGACCATAATATTGCAGCAACTTTTATTTAATTATATATTTCTGCATTTTTCAAACATTCTACAAAGGACCTTTAAAATCAGTAAAATGCAGTGATGCCAGACATCAGTGAAGTGATGTAAAGAGATAGAGGGGCATACAGTTATGGAAAGATTATTTGCAAAGAAGGGAGAGAGTTGCACATGTTTGCAGGCTGAATGGAAAAAAGCCAATGAAAATAACCAATTGAAGATTAAAAGGACTAAAAATTGCTGAAGGCAGGTCTTGCAGGAGTTTGGTTGAGCTCTAGAGCACTGAGGGAAAATTAGACTTGGGTAGGAGGCACGAGAAAAATAGCCTGTGGAAGCATGTGTGAAAACCAAACCCCGAGGGAGTTTACACTTTGTGACCTTAACTTTCATTCTGTTTTTTTTTTCAGGCTGTATCTGTTGAGAGTGAGAAATGGTGAATTTGCAGAGAATATTGGACGTTTTGGGTATTTGATAAAGAGAATGAGAAAGAGAGAATTGCTGAGGAAAGTCAAAGGATTAACAGGTTGCCTGAAGGCTTCTTTGATGTTAGACGTCTTAAATTTGTAAATGTGGCATCATTCTCTAAAATTGCATGGGGTTTTTCATCAAGAATACGTATTTTTAGGAATAGAGGCACTGAAAGTGTGGAATGCTCTCTTTGAGAATTTGCAGAGTGGATACAATTAAAAGACTTTGGTTAAGAATTTGAAAATGGAGAGAAACTGAAGTCCACTGGAATTTAGGCTGGGCAGAAAAGAAGAGAATCGTTGGATGTTGAGGGACAGTGGGACAGGTCTTTGGAAGTAGATTGTAGTAGTGGAGGGAAAGAGAAGCAGGACTATGTTTTTTGCCTTCACCTCGCACTCATAGCCTATGCATCCAACTTTTGGCATTCACTGCACTCTGCCTTGTTTCAGTTGACTGTATTTCCCCCTGCCCCCAACTCCTGTAAGTGGCTGCACGTTCCTGAGGCACCTACCCCAGTGTTCTGTGTTTGGCAGTGATTCAATTACAGTTGTTGGAAGAGTGAAGGAAACCAAATGTGTTGATTTTTAAAATCATGGCAAGTGCTTTTGGTTAAATTTAGAATGACTCTTTTGAAGATTGTGCGCTCAAAAGTATTAATTAAATTGGCAACTGTGCCTGCCAGCAACCTTAATGTGATACTCTTTGGGGAGGAGCCATTTGAAGGTGTTACTGGAACTATAGCAAGCTCAGAGTATGAATTTAACTGCTCTTAAAGAAGCTCCATTTTTTGAAGCTTCCACGTAATGGTGAAAAAGCCTTGCTTCATAAGCAGTCAGTTTTTCTTCTGGATCTACTGTCTGGTGCTTTCAGGGCTGATAACTTTTCATTGTTTTTGCTCAGATAGTAGCCACTCAAGAGGGTGGCAGGAACCTTCTGCTTCTCCTAAAAGCTTGGTTTCAGAAAGTGAATTTGCTTTGTATTGTATCTACAGAGTGTACTCTTCTCAATCCAAAGTCTTTCTTGTAAGTTTTCCATAATTTAGCTATAAATTCACAAGATTCCAAGTTCTTATTTTATCAGAGGAGAAAGGACAAGGAATATACTACTCTCGGATCATGATGATGGGTGAAGCTAAAGAGGGAGGAAGAATGACAATTCTTCCTTTTGGTAACCTTAATTGTGGTTCTATGTGGAGGCATACACACGCCCATAGACACTCATGCACTCTTGGTCACTTACTCATGCACTTACACAACCGTTTTTCCAATCTTACTCTTTTCAGTTGAATGTTTACATCCTAACCCTGGTATTTAATGTTTAGTGTTTTCAAGGCTCCTTTTTATATATTTATGAATCTAGTAGACCTCATCCCAGTGAACATTCTTAATTATAGTCAGTTGCCCCAAATTGGCTTTCTTGAATTTAAATGCATTTGCCATTTCATTTTTCAAGATGAATTTGATTGAATGTCTTGTAGTGATTGATGCAAACTCATTCAGAATATCTGAGTAATAAATTTATTACTTTCTAGAAATAAGTAATAGATCACAAAATCTCTTTGGTTTAATATTTTACTGTTAAAGATTAAACAGTTCTTCTAAATAAGTTAGCAACTCTCTCAAACTTAAATTGTTTAGCTCTATGTTTAAGGAAACTACGGAAATTGTTTCAGTTCCCTTGGGTGCAGTCGTGCAATTTAGATTTAGCTGGCCCGCAGATTGTACTCATCTATGTTAATGTTTCTGTAATGAGAATGATCCAACTGTGTCATAACCTTTTAGGTCTTAACCTCCTTCATTGACATAACCTTTTACTTTACATTTACACACGCTTTGCCATTTTAGGATTAATATGTCAGGCTTTTTATTTTATTTTATTTTTCCCAAGACCTGACTTTGTTGCTAAAAGAAAAGATCAATTGGTTTGCCTTATATATGGGATAAACATGTTGTTCACAGTAGATTGGTCAATATTTGAAAGAAATGCTGGATTTGATAACCAGAGAAGGGAATCCATGGATTTTTGCATGACTACCATAATTTTAAGTGGAAAAACTCAATAAACTATTTTTATTCTTAAAAATGTTGATTAAATTTGATAATATTTGAAACGTACATTATTAAATAAATGATTTGTATGTGTATTCAATTCCTTGCTTCAAATAGAACAAGTTATAATTTAAAATAATGCTAGTACCTATTACCCTAAAAATATGTGTTAGAAACATATACACATTGGTCTTTTACATTTAAAATTATGTCATTTATGTACATTTTTATATATCCACATATATTTACAAGTATTGATTAAAACAAAATAAAATATTAAAAGACTTGGACTTGCTTAACTAAATATAGAGTTAAGAGGTTAATATGTTTCAAAAATTTTGTGGTAAAATTTATTTAAATAGAAAATACAATACATGTGAAATGATTTCATTTTAAAGTAGCCTATTTATGTACAGGATATTTTTTCTATTATTAATAATTTTATTCTATTTGTGATACTCTGAAGGAGAATCACAGGGTGCATAATCTGGGTATCAGGGAGCACCCCCGAGGAAATGTCATTTGAGCTGAGTCCCAAAGGGTGAGTAGAAACTGAAAGGTAAAGGACTTGAGTGCCTCGGGAGGCCTAATATTTTTAAAACAATATTTGTATTGTAAACCTGACCCATAAATCCCCCATACTCTCCCAAAACCTTACAATATTTTCCCAAATCTGTACCATGCCCTGCAAAAGCTGCATCATCTGACTTCTCCCTCTCTCAGCAACTTTATTTCCGACCACCCTCCTTCACTCTCACCCCCCAGCCATGGCCGACTTGTTGAGTTTCACCACCTCACCATTGTCTCACTTCTAGCCTTTGAACATGCTGCTCATGTACCTTGGATGACTCTCCCTATCTCCTTTCTCCATCCCGCTCCTCGTCATTGGTAAACTCCACCTATCTGTAGATCTTCAGCTTCTTCGGACAAGTGGTATCTGAATCCTGGGAGGCTGTGTCTTCATTTACAAGTGAAGCATCTTGCACTTCTTCCCCAGTCACTCTCATCACCTTTGTGATTTCTGGTGTCATGGCTATATTCCTAGAAGGTGGACCTTGTGTCCCCAGCATCTAGATTGCTGTTACATTGTAAGGATCAAGCAAATAGCTATTGAATAAATGAATGTATATAAAACTTTAAATCATTCAATTCTAAATATAATGTTTTTTCCTAGTCACTATAAGAATTGCAGCTACCACTTACTGAGAACAAGTGTTAATCAAGCACAGTCCAAGATGCCAAATGTGGTGGATAAGAACCTCATATTATTAATGACAAAACTGAGAAATTTGGAAGTCCAGTGAATTGCTGCAAGTCAGATTGTGGTTTGCTCTATTATGTTTGATAAAAGCAGCGACTAAATTGTCTCATTATAATCAGGAGAGAGAAAACACTGTTTTTTAATGAAAAAGCGCTGATGTAGTTCATCTTAAATTGTAATACTTTTATGTAAATTTTATTTAAAATTTAAATTTTTATATATTATTACACTTATTCTCATTTAAAGTATTCGATTTGTCAGTACTGTCAGTCATGTGCCATATATTAAAGAGCAAAGGAAGTGATAGACATACACGGTTTTACCCGCTAGTGAGGTTACAATTTGAGTAGGGAGAGAGGCTTGGGAAAAGCATCTATGTTTTAGCTGAAGTAACCACAAAATCCTAAGGGTTATAGAGTTATGAATACTTAACAACTATTTAAAAACTGCTTAACGGTGGGCGCAGTGGCTCACGCCTGTAATCCCAGCACTTTGGTAGGCGAGGCGGGCGGATCACGAGGTCAGGAGATCGAGACCATCCTGGCTAACGCGGTGAAACCCCGTCTCTACTAAAAATACAAAAAATTAGCCGGGGGTGGTGGCGGGCGCCTGTAGTCGCAGCTACTCGAGAGACTGAGGCAGGAGAATGGTGTGAGCTTTCAGTGAGCCGAGACTGCACCACTGCCCTCCAGGCTGGGCGACATAGCGAGACTCTGTCTCAAAAAAACAGAACAAAACAAACAAACAAACAAACAAACAAACAAACTGCTTAATATGGCCCACACATTGTTCTAGGCACTAGGCACACACTAGTGAATAAAATAAACAGGATCCCTTGTCTCATGAAAAATATAGAATAAAGACATTCAATCCTATTGAGGAGGCCTCATTAGGCAGGACTTACTAGAGAGGGAGATGCTTTCATTGGCTCATAAAGGTGAGTAAATAGTGTCATGTCCTGATGGGGAGTGTCTTAGTATATCTGATCTTAACCAAAATGCTAAGAAACTATAACAGCATATTAATTAGGATTAGGATCATCATGGAGTAGTAGAAAACCACAAGTTGCATTGTTCTGACAAGCTAGGAAGCTGTCTCTTGCTCCCATAAAAGAAGTCCAGGTATAGTTAGTCTAGTGTGGGTACTGTACTCAGAGGTAGAAGCCCAGGGTGTTCCCTCCATGTTGTTTCTCCACCACCTTCCATACGTGACTTCCAGCTCAGGCTCTAAGACGGCCACATGATTTCCATTCATCATATCTGCATTCCAGCCCGCAGAAAGGAAAGGGATAGTAGGGAAGAAGAGCATGCCCTCTTTATTTCCAAACACTTACCGAAGTTGTGTACACTGATTCTGTTTATTTCTGGAAGCAACCTCAAGAGAGGTGGAGAAGTGGGGAAATGATGTGTTTTGCTAAAAACAGGATTTTATTGCTGAAGATGTGGAAAATGAATATTGGGGATAAATGACAGTGTCTACTACATTAACAAAAGCAAGGCCTGGAGGAATGACAGCAAAGGATTCAGAAAAATAACTCCAAAAGTTTCACTGTGTGATGTGGCTGGAATTTTATGTATATGGAACATTATAGAAGGGAATAACTAAACGTAGGTTCATAAAAGCATTTAATTACCATGCTCAGAAACATTGTCAAATAGGGATATATAATAATTTAAATATCTTTCTTATGTTTTACTTACATATTTTATAATTTACAAGGCTCTTAAAATATATTATCTCATT